CGCTGGGTCATGGGTTTACCCTCTTGTCAAGTCTTCAGGCTGATTCAAAATTAAGGCTTAGTATCCAACAACTTAATGGAAGTTTTAGAATGTGCCTTTTAGCTAATTTGGCCAGTTTCACTGTTGTTAGGCTGTGCATAATCTAAAATACTTGAGTGAACTCAGAGTTACTAACACAACCAAAGCAAGAATCAGACCTTGTGTTTTTCTAAGATTGAGAGCTGACATTTTTCATAAAGACTGATGTTTGCATCAAGGAATATCAACAAATACGTTACTGGAGTACGAAACAAAAGTGCAGCATTTTGTGGGTTCACACACTGGCATTTTGTTCTGTTTCAAGGAAGACGATATACAAAGAAGTGTTTGTAGAAGAAATATACGTATGGAAGAAATGCGGTTAGTACATAGTTGATAGTTCCTTCAGAGACATTTTAATAAAATTCCTCACCAAGCCAGTTATGAGGTTTACCAGGTGTCATGGATTAGATCCTCATTAAGATATAACAAATGAAGAGCTGGAAGGGAAGCTGGAACAGGTGGATACTTCAGAGGGGCCACAGTTTCCCATGAACTTCATTTGTCTCTACTGAGCAGAGAATAATCTTGAGCTTTGGCAGGAGACGAGTGAGGAATGGAAGCAGTTGCCCTGCTGTTTGTCTGTTAAGCAWACATGATTATTTGATCTCTGCTTACTTTTTCGGGTATTTATCTAAAATGGAGGTCTCTTTATGCACCCTAAAAGAGTAGTATGTTAAGATTATCTTTCCCGGGAATGTGCTCAATCTGCAAGGACAGTGTCTCGCTGCCCTCCAGTGGTAGCAGCCTCCAGGACACTGCTGCGTTTTCGGGATGCTTTTAGACATGTAAACTGTGAAATCCAGATCCTTGGGGAGAGTGTAATGCTGCTGCTTTCCATGAGAATTAGATATTTAAATGTATTTGGCAAGCTCCATCYTACCTCTGTTTGAAAATGTTGCCAGTGAGGAAGCTGCCTCATCAGAGTTGCAGAATAAAGTTACTTCACTGAGAAACTCCACTTTAGCACCCTTATACAAACATACATACCTCTGTCCATGTATGCACAATGTAAGTCATACTATATATAATCGATGCTGTCAGTATTCAGATGTTATATTTCCTAATATGAATTTCTGGAATTCATACTTAATTTGAAATAGTTGGAAAGAGCTTGCCAGGGAATGGTAGTTTTATCCGGTCAGAGCAGACAAACTCCAGCACTCTGTGAGGAAAGCTAACATGCAAACTATCACATAAGGCTATTTCAAACCAGGCAAATGCTGTTTGTTTTCTATGAGCAAATTTTAACAGATTTCCTTAAGGAGATGTTCTAGAAAACAAGAAGATGACTATGCCAAGACCACAAAGGTCAGCCCTACTGTCATCTCCAGTATTTCCTTCAACACAGGATTAATATGGTTGTTTAGGTTTGGACTGATGAGTTACCATCTCCTTTCTAATGGTGCCTTCAATGTGTGTGACAGGAGTTGCAATGTTTTCTGTAGAGCCTTGTCATTCTTCGTCACCTGTCATTAAGGATTAGATGTGCAGTTCTTCTGCCCTTGCTGTAAGATTCAAGGAGCCTGYAGAGAGCTCCAAACTCACCAGGGAAGAGCTGCATAGTGGAGTATTGAGTCCTCTATATGCCTGCTGAGATGAACGACTTCTTCAGGTTGTTTCTTATCAGAGAGATTAAGGAATATTGGAAAAAAAAAACCTTGATCTTATTCATATTCAAGATTATTTGCATTCAGCCGTATATCTTACATACAATAGATATATGTTAGCTAGGGACCTGTGCTCCCTCTATCTTCCTACTGCTATACCTGAGCTCCAGGTAGAGACGGTCTGAAATTTCACTGCTCAGCTTATACATACACAACAATCCTGCAGCACAACAACRTGATACCAACCCCCTGCCCATGACCATGCTACAGCTGCAGGGGTTTTCCTGGACAAGTACGTTACTGGCAAATTGCTTCGCCTGAATCACCAGACTGAAGTATTTAAGTCACATGCTCTCCTTTTCCTCGACAGAATATCACTGAAAGTCCAGAGTCACCCAACAACGCAGCCTGGCATTTGTTGGCTTTAGCRTGGGTGTGGGATTCACTGAAGTGGCACACAGATATCAGCTTCTGTGTCTTGGATCTAGGTTTAGATCCAAATCTTTAAATTAAGGCTCTAAGATTTGGGTCAAATTGCAAGACAGAAAGAATTTCATGACACTTCAGTTCGAGTTTTGGCCCATTTCTGAAATTTCATTTTCACTCAAAAGTAAAAATATTTTTATAAAATAGCTTAATTACTGTCAGGAAAGAAATTCCTTATATATACCGTACTGTTCAGGCCTCGCTTAGAGGTATTTGGACAGAAATATCAATAATGATATAGCATAAAGTTATTCAGTCACTTCAGGAAATAACACTCAATCCACAATCCACGCACAGAGAAATAGCAGTATTTAAATAACTGGCACGACTTTCGCTCAAGAAGGTACTGGGAAGGTAAGAGCATGGAAATCTAGACAGATATTATACGTCACAGTGTGCTGAGAAAATATGAAAAGCATTTGCAGAAAGACGGAATTGACATTCATTTTTAAATCAACAGTACCAGAGGCAACCTCATGCCAGGGAGAAAAGCATGTGGTTGGAAAGATCCTTCTAGATTCATGGCTTCATTAGAAGCAGTTCTTTTCCAGCTGTATAGATATGACTTTTCTAGGTAGGATCTCCTATTTTGATGCAAGTTACCTAATCTGAAAAAATACCATGAAGAGARGAGGTAGAAGACAGTCTCCAGCACAGTGTGCTGCATATTTCTTCTTCATGATGACTTTTGGGGTTTCTTCTACTCCTTTACTAATTAGGTTGTATATTTGTGTTTCCCAGGTTGAGGGCACAGTAGCCGGTCCTGCCCTTCTCTCCTTAACATACTGATGGCAAAGGTCCAATGACTCGAATGATTTAACTTAATTTATCACCATCCAGCCCAAACCTGCATCCACTTCTTCAGGTGCTGTAGCTCAGCAGTTTTTGCTATTTATCTCCCTGAACACTTCTTGATTCCATACCTTTACCATAATTTCTTATGACATTTCTTACAGCTGTTTCAGTGCTCTAGAGGCTGAAGGTAAAAAAGAAAGAATTTCAGCTCAGGAGCGTGCTGGAGGAATCTAGTCCCAGGTTAAACATGAGAAATCTGAAAAAGCTTACGAACTGCTYTCTATAGGAATAGTCTCTAGTGGATAGAAAGAGCTTGGCTGAGACCTTCTTTTAAGATGCTGACCTTCTTTTGATACGCTTCTTATGCCAATYTCATCTGTAACGGTAATTACAAAAGTCATTTGGGAACAGAGCTAACTGCTGTCATGAGAATCCTTACCAAACAGTCTCATCTCCAAAARTAAATTGCTGCTTCCTGGAACAACCACATCATCACACGAAGGTGTCCAGGGGTGTTTGGGAAGACCTTGGTAACCAGGCCGGAACAGTGGTATGATCTGGATCTACTTATCCGGATGTATGGATGTACACTGTGAAACGAAAACATGCAGTAAATCACTTCCTTGGCATTGATCTGGAAGTTCAACAAGAAAGATCAAATTGCACACCAACACCAGAACTCATCTAATATAAATTCTGAAAGTGCAATTCTTTCGCAGAACCAGCAGCCCTGTGGAAAATGGACTTTCCCTTGAGTCTCACTTGGATGCTTCTGTTAAGCACTTCTCTTCAATATGAAACAGGTACAGTCTGATAATTTTTCATGCTTGAAGGGAAAAGTTAGAGGTAGAATTATACAGAGTAGCTTGCTGGGAATCAGGAGCAGAGTACCTTAAAATACTGCTGAACCACTTCATACAATTAATGATTAGTTTAATTTGTCTTCTGAAGCAAAGATTCAGCAAATCTACAGGTTACATTTTAAAACTGGAAATGATAAAGAATGGCATTTTCTGTTGCTCTCCTACAAGAAGAAGGTGTTTTCCAAGTATTCTTTTAGTTTGGAATTTCTTCTTTCTGTTCTGTGATTCTGTAAYTCTCTGATCCTTTGTGATCTGCAAAGTTCTTCCAGTGGTTTTAAAAATTCATGCACCATGTCCTGCAGTGCTCAGTTTATATCTCTGTATGCTCGCAATTGCACCAGGAGAAGCAGTAGAAATAGAGGTCTAGGATTCTTTTCTTCASGATAGGACGTACTGGAGCTTTCCTCATTTTTGTGGGAATAACTAGAAGAAGGTCACTACATATTCTCAATGGTTTTGCTGCAGATGAAGAAGTAAATCCCCTATGAGGATAAAACAGTTCACCTGTGATTCCCCAAACTTGGCAGAACTAACAGGAAATAACAGAGATTGTAAGTGGAAGAGTTGCCCTGCAGACATAGGCAGAGTTATAGTAAAATCGAGTTGCTTGGCAAATGTAGAGGGTGCTCTACAAACAGCAACCCCTCGCTGCAGAGCCTGGGCTCCTGTGCAGACCCCAGGAGGCATTTGAAAATACAATGGTTTTGTATTTTCAAAAGCTGGGCTGCCAGCTGCCACRGTCTGGGCAGAGTAATGGTCCTTAGCTGCTTCTGCTACTGTAGTAAGGACACCTGGAAAAGGTAAGCAAGCTTTCCTAGTGCCACAGCAGAAAATGCCCACTCAGGTCACAGGGACCCGCACCTTCATYGGAGACAAAGGATGTGCATGAGGAATTCAGGGATCATAACTCTTCTTGGTGATGCCATAAACAGGCTCCTCTGCGCTCTTCTTCCACTACCACTTCTCTTCCATATAAGAGAATAAGCCTCTTCCTCCAGAGAGGAGGAGGAACTGTGGGATGGCTTTGAAAACACCTCAACATCAACATACACTGTAAAAACCCTGTATAAGCCYTTACAGGATATCACCTCACAGCAAAACCACACCACATACCTAGAAATGCATGATGTGTTACATCAGTGCTAACATACTTTCTTATCTGCCACAGCAAGTGCAGTGTGGCGGCAACCAGCAGGAAACACGAAAGGTGGAGGCAACTTGGATCTAAAGTCAGCAGGTAAGAAATTCTCAGAACAAAGTATTTTTGACACACAGGTAAGAGGGTAGGACATGCATGCGAGCGTGAAATGGCCTGGCCATTTCACTGGTCATTTCCCTGGTCAAAGGTGCAGGGAAAACACTCTGGATGAGCTGGTTATCTTCCCAGCACCATCAATGATACACTAATGTGATGATCAAGTCAGGCAAGCAGTACAGCCATGGGAACAAGGCACTGCATACAAGCAAAATTAACCACCTTGAGATTTAGATACCCTGGGAATAAATRAACAGATCTTTACCTGCCGGTTTGTGCTTTGGTTTCAGGAGATCCGCCACAATTGCGACTGGTACAAGGAGGGGACAGATGTGCTGGGAGAGTTGAAGTTTACTACAGAGGAGAATGGGGGACAGTGTGCGATGACTCCTTTGATACRAACAATGCCCAAGTTGTATGCAGACAACTGGATTGTGGCCAACCCATTTCTGTCCTGGGGTGGTCTTACTTTGGCCCTGGTGAAGGAAATATCCTCCTGGATGATGTGCAGTGTACAGGACAGGAATCTTACCTGTGGGACTGCCAGCATCTCCCCTGGTATGAAAACAACTGTAGGCACAACGAAGACATCGGTGTCATCTGTTCAGGTAAAAAAAAATGAAATCTCTTCCCTCTCAAAAATCTCTTCAGATTTTCTTATTGACCATYGGTATGAGAAAATCATCACGGGACTTGCAAGCCTTGGACTAGGGCTGAACTGTGTACATGCAGAGGCCCCTAGTACACAGACTGATTAGTGCTGAGGGAGAAAAAGGRCGTCTGGTACAAAATGCCAGGAACGGTTGTTGCAAGCACTTAGTATGAAAAGGGTGAGAAGAAGGAAATCCAGGACTATTCTAGTCAACAGCTGGTTAGAGGCTGTTTCTATGATGAAAAAGGCAATCAGTTAAGAAAAAATAGCAATGCATCCAGAAGAGGGGAGATAGGTGTGTTTGAAGTAAAAATATACATGTGATAAATATAATTGAAATCAAAGATCATATAGTTTGAGGTAGCCTATTTTGAAGCAATATTAATAACTGCAGAATAAAAGCCAATCTTTGTGTTTTCTTCCCACATTCACAGATGCGACACGCTCCACAACTGCACCATCAAGTAAGTCAGGACTTTTGGGAGAGCATCTCTGTAGTACTTCACTGTCTCCCCAAATTCTCAGACACTGYTTTTTAACTCAAAAATAATGTGATYTCTGYTCTGGTAGATGGTATTCTAGAAAGGTGCATCTCTGCTGAGGGGAAACATGTATTTTAAGATTATAGACTACCATGTATGAAGGTAAATGTCAATCTAAAATTATAAGCATCATCCAAGTACTGACAAAATTTTGTTAGAAGAAAAAAATGGCATTTCAAGATTTTTTAAAATAAGCTATGCTAAATGAGAATAATCTTAAAAGGAAGAGCCATGGAGTTATGTCAGATTTACTTTTTTCAAATGTCAGGCTCTAAGAATCTTAAAAGGAAAAAAAATGTTTGTAGCAATACCATGGCTTGTGCTTGGGGATGCATATACAAACAGTATCTTTTCTGTGAAATTTACTGGCAAATAAACCAAGATTAATGTAACACAAGGAAAAAAACAAAGCAAGTTGCATGACACTGAACCGTTTGGGACTCTTACCTATGGACATAACATTCTTTATGTAGGACTTTTTCTTCATATCTGTTAGTTTATGTTATTCTATAAATACCCAGTACATTATATAATGTCAAGAAAGTATGCTATTCATTCTTCCACATCCTAGATCTGGGGTGCAACACCACATCCATCTGCTAAATCATTATTTTGAATGATTAAAGAAATGCAGTTCACGAAAACTATGCTGTGGAGTTCTGCTGAATGCGATTATTCTAAGGACAGTGTAGAACATCCCTTGTTAGACATCTGCATGACCTCTTAGCTGGCTCCTCTGTAGGCATGTGCAATAGCACCAAAAGCAAAGCAGGAAGAAAGCATGCTTACTTTCCCATCAGATTCACTAGAAATCTTTAGCTCTCCCACTCTTTTCTGGATGGGAAGGTATCACRCAAGCCAGTTTACGCTCTTTTGTGAAGTTAGGTTGGGTAGATGGTTAGGAACATCAAAGCTCATTGCACTTTTGCCTATTCTGCACATCCATTTCTGCATTGATAGTGTCACTGGCAAATATTTCCAAATATCATCTGGAGCACTGCCATCAATCATTTACTTCAAGTTAGAAGTCTTGAAGTACACAATTTTAGGGGCTGCGGCATTAATCCCTGTTTCCCAAACCTGACGTTTAAGTTATTTCAATCGTGTCTCAGTTCTCATGACYATCCTTAGAGTTCTCTAATAATTTATCTCCTGTACCTTCCAGCATCCTCAGAGAGGACCACAAGTTCAATACCCACATCAACACTTCCCAGAGAGAGAGTTATGACAACTGCCACAGAACTCCAGACTTCTCCATACAAAGGCAAGCAAAACCTCAAACTGCACATGACATGTGAGAAAACTTTGAGTAATACAAGGCAGAAGTACTGCAACTCTTGTAGTAAAGGGATGCAGCAGGAAATAACACAGGTGCACAGGTATCTACTGTCTTTGTTATTTAGTATTAAATGAAGGTGATGTCTTTATTTTCAGTAAAGATTACGAGTCAGTACACTGACTCATATCATGACAAATATCCTGTTAATATTGTTTTTTTCGCTCAGTTAAGTTGATGTGACCATGTGGATCTGTAAAATATTCATGGGAGGTACCTACAAATTAAACACTGTGAGAAAGAACAATCCCTTCTTTAACCCAGCAACATCCAATTTCCTATTTTTCTGTCTTCTCACAGGCTCTGGAAGCACAACAGGATCACTGGTTTCCACACCCCCGCTTGCAGGAGATGCTGGTACATCAGTTCCAGGAAACCCTTCCATAATTGCTCAAAGTAAGAACAGTCATGCCAAAATAATATCCGATAGAAATGAAATTGAAGGAAAGAAGGGTAAAAAAATACTGCTTCAGTCCAGTATTCTAAACTAGTAATGTTGCTCGAAAACGGCAGCTTTCATTATTTACTTATCATTGTATTTCATAGTCCAAAGGTCTTCCAACCTTAGAACCATAGAATTCTATGATAYCACTATGTGATGCATTTCTATTATGTGTAGTGCTCTATTATGTGGTGACAAAGACCTGAGATATATTTACAAGTGATTCCACTTTCATTCTCTGAAACCAGGCTTGTTGTATTTTCTCACTATTTCACCAAAATGGTAAATCTAATCATTTTAATGAACTCTCTAATTCTGTTCTTATTCCCATTGATCATTTATTGCTCATTGCTTCTATTGTTTTGTTTCCCTCACAGCTGTTGCAGATTATTTTGCCACGGAAATGGATGACTTGGTCACATCTGCGCCTGCCACAGTGGGTAGCAAGCCAGCAACAACCACAGAACTACTGCTTGGGCTGAACAGAGGTAGGGAGCAGTCAGATACACACTATGTGCCTTGGATCACTTAGAAACATGAACGTCTCTCCCCTGCGTGCCCACCAACACGCTTGTCCTGCTCCATCTCCCACTCTTGCAATACAAGAAGTAGCAGCAACTGAAATCGGCAGGCTCAGATTGCATAGAGTGGAGAAGCCAATTGCTGACCTCTTCTTTAGTATCCACAAAATAGTGAAGGGCAATTCACACATAGACTAACTTCACCTCTTTAAACTGCTCCTCACAACTCACGATTTTCAAGATATTTCTTGATTCTTTCATCCAAACTCTCTCCATTCTGTCTTCTTAAATGTGCCATTTCTGGCTGAGCACCTGAGGTCTCTTCTGTGCCAAGGAGAATAATTAGCTCCCATGTGTGAGTCTGTGAGAGCAAGACTGAAATTAGATGGCTCACCATAGCACCAACTTTGCTTTCAGTTTTGCATGGTCCTGCTGTGCCAGCTACAAGGATGATTTTGCATCTGTGAATTGCTTCTCTCCTTCCTAGGAGCAGTGCATTGCAAGCTGGCTTTATTGGATTTCAACTTGATGATTTTTGACATTTATTCACTTGATGAAAGTCATTTAAAATGCTCATCTCATCCTCCAGAGAGAGTGCAAATCTTGCATTTCCTTCTGTCACTCTATCTGCCCTGTTCCAAAGTTTCAGTGTTAAAGGCTGAGGAGCTCATTACAGCATGGCAACCGTGGCTGGCTATTTAACACCCACACCATCTGTTAATCCACGATGCTGCATAATACCATGAACAATTACCAAGGGCAACTGGAAATTTCTTTTCTAAAATTGCTTTTCTTCTGTAACCTTATCTATGCTGCTATAAGTTCAGAGCTGTGACTCAGTACCAGTGGCAGCAGCATTACAAAATAAAAGCAAATTTGTCTAGTGCTCCACCCACTAATCTTATTTTGAAAAATATATTCACATTCAAAGTCTAAGACTCGGYTGCCCTAATTTCTAGCAGTAGAAACTAACTGGTAAATCTTCAACACTGTGAAGAAAAAACTGAGTCATTTTTAATATCAGGTAAATCACAACAAATCTACTTTAAGTGAAGATCTGGAAACACCTAGAGAATTTTTGATCTGCTTCTTCCTCACCATTCCCACCTGGATTTAGATAGCTAAAGTCTTGTTACTAAACTTCTATTTAATGCTTTTCACATCTCTACTGACTACTCAACACCTGGATCAACAGCTTAGTAATCTTTTCTCAGTGTTATTTTTCCTCTCTGTAATCTTATTCAGTAGGCTAGTAGTAGTTTAGTCCTTGATCTTGGGAAATGAGCCAAGCACACTATTGCTGACTTTTCTTTACAGCCAACTTTTGTAGAACCAAATAGTAAACATTGTACTCAGATGGAAAGAGCTTTGATCATGATCAGCAACAGGAATTAAAGGAAAAGAGACCACTAGGAAACATTGCCCTCCTGAAWGGATGTGCATTAGTTGGCTTCAGAAGGCTGCCAGGTGACAGCAAAATGTCCCAAAATGAAAATATTGTAATCACAGACCTACCAAGGAGTAACATAGGCATGTATCCTTGATGCAGCTTAATGGTGCCTACAAACTCAAAATCACAGAATTATGTTGTCATCAGTGTACATGATTTCTTTCTCTGAAAGAAAAATATACTCCAGACCCATAAAACTCATTTGTATCTTCAGATCTCTAAAGGCTTTTCCTTCTGAAAGGGAGATAAATGTGTAGAATGTTCTGTAAGTACCCAGCCCTCAGATATAAGCCTGATGTGTAGAAATATCTGCGCTCCTATTCTGGGGAAAAGATGMTGTGCCAGCCATCTGCTATGCTGCAGCAAAAACAAGGAAGGGACAAGAAGTTCATCAGTCATTAATTTGAGCAAGAAACAAATATACCTCTTAGGCTATAAGGTACTGCAGGAAGAGGTGAGCCTTGGTAGTTAATTGTGATCATCCTTTAGACAGCGCTGCAATACAAATAACAGTGATGGTTAAAAAAAAAAAAAAAAAAAGTTAAAAAAAAAAAAAAAGAGAGAGAGAGAAATCCTTCCCTCCATTGCACACACTTGGGGTGGTGGGCACAACTATCTGTATGAAAGCGAATGCCAGTTCTCCAGAAGCTCTGTATTCTGACTGGGAACATATGTATCATGTACAGTTAGCCTAAAAAGAGCACTGGGGCCCTGGGGAAAAGAGGCTTGGCCTTAGGAGGAAGGGGGAAATAGGGAAACATAGAAAGTGAAGAATTTACAGCAAATTCCCTTCAAAAGAAATGACTGTCAGTTTGTGCAATTTCCTATAGCCAACRGAGTCCAACTTTCAAAAAAATATTTCAGTGGTGTTAAACACATGACCTGAGCACCTGCGTTTCTCTTGGTGAGGATGCCCCCCAGCCACAATAACAGGAAATTGCCCATGTAGGGTGAACACCACCATGAACAGTCAAGGGGCTGGGGTGCTCACATTTAGAACAACCTTTGGCACCTGCTCCCTTTAGATCATAATGCTGTGCTGTTCCTGCACAGATAGTTCTCAAACACTACCCCTTTCAACTATTTCATTCATAGTAATTGAAGAACCTTATGCAACTTTCTCAGAAGAGCAACCAGCATTGTTCACTTTTCCATTTCTCATCCTTTTGCAGACACCAMAATTCCCTTGGTCACAACAGAACTCATTCCAGCTGGTGAGTTCTCCCTACCCAGTTGTAGCCAAGGTAAACCACCAGTATATTTCACATAACTTATTACCCTCCTGTAAGTGCTGATTAGGGAGAAAATTCAACAGTAAGGTAGGCAAATAGGATGATTTGTGTGACACTCACTGCTTCTCTCAGGATGGTTTCACAGCACTTCCACTAAGGTAGGGCATGTTTGCAAGATGCATATATGTTAGAAACAGAAAGGAAGAATTAGTCTTCTCMCCAAGAAAACTGTGGATCCACTTGGTCCTAAGTAGCTCTGAGACAAAATTCCCACTCTCACAGTTTGAAAAGGTCCTGTCTTCACCACTAGGCACAGCCACTCAATGCACTCGGAAGACCTCCATACCCCCTCCTAGTGCCACTCTCATGAGGGAGAATGGGAGATACAGAATGCCCACTTCTCCAAACACACAGAACAACTCTAAAGGCAAACTCTGCTCTAAAGAGGGCTCTAAATGAAGACGTGCAGGGCAGCAGGTCTCG